AAGGCCTTTTCTGCCTCTCACCCCACCCCACCAGCGAGCAGGCTGGGGGTGCACAAGAAGCTGGGGGGGGACACAGCCGGGACAGCTGACCCCAGCTGACCAAAGGGATATTCCACACCATATGACGTCATGCTCAGCATATAAAGCTGGGGGAAGAAGAAGGAAGGGGGGGATGAACTCAGAGTGATGGCATTTGTCTTCCCAAGCAACTGTTAGATGTGATGGAGCCCTGCTTTCCTGGAGGTGGCTGAACACCTGCCTGCCAATGGGAAGCGGTGAATGAATTCCTTGTTCTGCTTTGCTTGCGTGCACAGCTTTTGCTTTACCTATTAAACTGTCTTTATCTCAACCCATGAGTTTTCTCACTTTTACCCTTCCGATTCTCTCCCCCATCCCACCAGGGAGGAGTGAGCGAGCGGCTGTGTGGTTTTTAGTTGCTGGCTGGGGTTAAACCATGACACACAACCCAAAATGTATTTACATATTATATCCTTGCTGAATTTCCAGTTTTCTAAAGTCTACTTTTGAAAAACAAAAATTGCTTTCCCTCCTCCCACCCACCTTCTTTCTTTAAACTTAGAAATAACTAAATTCTTCTCTTAACTGCTAAACCATTAAATCCTGACCTGCAATGAAAACACATTTCCACCACTTTCATTAACTTCCCTTCCCCTGCAAATACTATAAACAGTACTTTGTAATGACACCTTTAGAACCTTAAATAAAGGGTATAAAATGCATCATATTCACAAGAATATCCACGTTCGTGTGCTGGAGCTGGCTTCTGAAAAGCTGCAGCATTTTCAGATGCTAATGTCTCTTATCTGAATTATTGTAACGGATTATGCAAGATATATTAATCTTTTTCAATACAAACTAAAACTTGCTCGCAGAAATTGTTTTACTTATTACTGAAGAAGGCACTGTCAGTTGCTCCCAAAGCAGAAAAGATAACTAAGCCACTAAGCAATTTTTGAAACTACTTTATCTATTTCACATGTAAACAACGTACTGGGAACTGTGACTAGATTTGAACGGGTATGGCATAGTTATCAGGGTCCATATTCACTAACTTCATGTTGATTGTTGTCACTCATATCTTTAAAAAGGGGAAAAAGGAAGACCCGGGGAACTACAGGCCAGTCAGTCGCACCTCTGTGCCTGGGAAGATCATGGAACAGATCCTCCTGGAAGCTATGCTAAGGCACATGGAGGACAGGGAGGCGATTCGAGACAGCCAGCATGGCTTCACCAAGGGCAAGTCCTGCCTGACTAACCTAGTGGCCTTCTATGATGGAGTGACTACATCAGTGGACATGGGAAGGGCTACAGGTGTCATCTATCTGGACCTCTGTAAGGCCTTTGACACGGTCCCCCACAACATCCTTCTCTCTAAACTGCAGAGGTATGGATTTGATGGGTGGACTGTC